ATGGGAGATGGATGCTCCTAGTAATGGGCTCATATATTCATGGTGCAATGTCTTGATTACCTATTTCACAGTGTGATCCAGTAAAGTGTTCTGGACAAGAACATGTGTATCCATTGACTTTATCGTTACACGTGCCTCCATTTTGACACGGGTTTGACGCGCATTCGTTGATGTCTGTTTAATTTAAACAAACAATATTCATTTAACACTAAACTATTTGCCGAAGGCGAAGAAGTATCGGGGAAATATCGGTGAAATATCGGTGAAATATCGGGGAGATATCGGGGAAATATCGGGGAAATATCGGGAAATATCGGGGAAATATCGTGGAAATATCGGGGAGATATCGGGGAGATATCGGGGAAATATCGGGGAAATATCGGGGAAATATCGGGGAGATATCGGGGAAATATCGGGGAAATATCGGGGAGATATCGGGGCTTTTTATAAGAGATATTGTGCAGAGGTTTCGATCTCAGACCTTCTTTAATGTAAAGACGCATTGCGTGGTATTTTTAATTTTTCTCATGAACCTAAGCTGTCTCAGCCGTTTTTAAGCTCTTGGTAAGTAACTTTACTTGAAGGAGAAAGGCGATTAGCGATACGAAAAAATATGATAGGTTATTTCAAGATCMAAGAATAGCTCGAATCCCGATGTTTTTTATAACTATTTTCGTCAAGAACACGTTTTTATYGTTTTTGTTATTGTACAAAAAGCTAATAGACACCAGTTCTTTRTGTGTCTGTCCTCTTATTGACGAKAAATTGGGCTACGCCTCGTGGATCCACACTACGCAATTTATCGTCAATAAGAGGACAGAAACATAAAAATCTGGTGTCTATTTGTTAATAAGATACCATCGGGTCTAGATTTATGTCCTGCAAGATGGAGGTAGACAATAAATGAACGAAGTTACTTACTAATTTCACAAATCTTGCCGGTAAAGCCTGGTAAGCAGTTGCATGTGAATGAATTGAGTCGATCACAGCAGCAGGTGCCGCCATTGAGACAAGGGTCGGGAATACAGTCGTTGATGTCTAGTGAGAGAAATTAGATATGATATAAGTACCCTTACACAGACAGACAGACAGACAGAAAGAAAACCGGAAGACAGACAGACAGACACAGACAGACACAGACAGACACAGACAGACACAGACAGACACAGACAGACAGACACAGACAGACACAGACAGACACAGACAGACAGACAGACACAGACAGACAGACACAGACAGACACAGACAGACACAGACAGACACAGACAGACACAGACACACAGTAAAGGGGTACTTACTTATTTCACAGTGTTTCCCTGTCCATCCCAGAATACAGTTACATCTGAAGCCTAGGTGTCTATCGATACATGTTGCACCGTTGATACATGATTCCGGTCTACAGTCATCAATACCTGAAATGTCACACCACGATAGCAAAACTCGTTATAATAATAATAATAATAATAATAATAATAATAATGATAATAATAAGTCCTTTTTTCATCCTAAAAACATAAATATAAATAGGAATAGGAATAGGAATAGGAATAGGAATAGGAATATAAATATATAAATATTTAGAGTTTAAATAAAATACTATTAATTTTTATCTTACTACTACAATTATTATTTTTATTTCTAATAACTGTATTCTAAAATTATAATTGCATGCATCTATTTGAAAAGGCACCTAGTTACAAAACAATAAACCTATCCAGAATTCGCTTGACTGACCACGAAACAATGGTTTCAAGTCGAGGTTGAACTTGATGAAAAAAAGAATCGAGTYCAGTCTCAACTTCAAACCATTGTTTCGTGGTCAGTCAAGCGAATTCGGGATAGGWCTATTCTTAAATCTTAGGTTTAAAAATCTTTCATTTTTCATGCCTTATATGGTGTAAATCAAAGCTTTTYCCTACTTACTTGATTCACAGTTATTTCCAGTCCATCCCGGCGCGCATTGACATTCGAATCCATTAACTACTTCCTTACACGTTCCTCCATTAATACACGGGTTGAATGCACAATATAGTAATTGGCCATCTGTTACAAAAAATGTTTCTTTACATGTTAAGTAGTTGCTAAATAGGTTTTAAAACTCAATTTCAAGCTTTAACCCCCCCCCCCCCCCCCCCCC